CTGCCGCTGCACTGAGTGTGGGCGGGGGCTGCCCAGCAATTGACGATTGGTCCCTTTGGAGGGTTTCTCCCTGTCCCCAGGCGTTGCCTGGCCTGTGTTTTGTGCACCCTCCCGGCACGAAGGGCTGGCAGACGGAACTCTGTCCACACCGCTGGCCCAAGCATGTGCCAGTTGCACCGAGGGCCGAATTGGGTCTCCGTTACTTGGCGGCATTTGCCACTGATCTGGTGGGGACATTTGCTAGGACCAGGGGCTGGACCGGACGGTCTCCTGAGGTCTCTTCCAACCCTAATCACCGATTCTCTGATTCTCAGGCCCTTGTGTTCCCAGGAGAAGGCAGGAGGTGAGACAGGGCAGCTTCCATGGCCCTTCCATGCTGCACGGCCTTCAGGCCAAAGCAGTCTCTGTTGGCATCGTCAGTCAGGGCGTGGGGCCGGAAGGCTGAGAAGCACAGCGAAGCCGCTGAACATCAGCTGTTCCCCGGGTGGCTCTGCCCGGCTGAGCGGGAGCTCCTGGGGTACATCTAGACTACCGCGTTTTGTTGACGGAAGTTTTGTCGACAGATACTGTCTACAAAACTTCCGTCAACAAAGAGCGTCCAGACACATTGAGTTCTGTCGACAAAGCAAGCTGCTTTGTCGACAGAACTCCGTAGTCTGGATGCAATGTTACAGGCAATAACACCTTCTGTCGACAGAGGGCGTTATGCCTCGTAAAATGAGGTTTACCAGCGTCGACAAAACTGCTGAGTTCTGGAGACGTTCTGTCGACAGAACTCAGCAGTAGTGTAGACGCTGGTATAGTTTTGTCGACAAAACTAGGTAGTCTAGACCCACCCCTGGTGCTGACGGGCCATGCAGCACGAGGGGGATGGGGAGTAAAGGGGCCGTCCCTACGAACGCGCCAGCTCAAGAAAACCAACCGGACGGGTGGCAGAGCCAGGCCCCGAGTGCAGGCGGCAGCTGGAATCCCAGGGCTGACCGTGGGGCAGGTCAGGAGAGGCTGGTGCCAGTCGTCCCTGCTGCAGAGCTAACCCAGTGGCCTCTTCTTTTCCAGATGTGGACGAGTGCGCCGCGCTCTCCGGAGTGTGCGACGGCGGCGAGTGCACCAACACGGCAGGCAGCTACGTGTGCACGTGCCCGCGCGGCTTCATGACCAGCCCCGACGGCGCCCGCTGCATGGGTGAGCGGGCGGGGCCTGCAGCTCAGCGCTGGGGTGCTGTGGGAACCTCTCGATTACGTTCAGAAGGCCGAGCGCTAGCGCCAGCTGGAAGACGTGTTGCAGTGGCGCGGGACCCTGGCTACGCAACAGTGGCACATGCAGCCACCCATCCCACCTGCCCAGCCAGTGGCACATACGTGGCTGTCAGTCGCGCACCAGCTCGTGGGACCCACTGGCCTGTGGGCAGGCAGGGAGCTGGCCCTGGCCAGGGGTGTCCACGCCACAGGGAGTGCTTGCCTTGTCCCCCCAGCAGTGCCAGACCCCCCAGGGAAGTGCCCCACACAACGGGCCAGCCCCAAAGAGGAGCCAGACGTGACACTTGACGTT